GCGGGGCCGCGGCCCGAGGAGCGGCTGCCTCCCGGGAACACCTATAGGGCGTGTGTGCTCTATCGTCTGTGTCCAAGCACACGGGGCCTCCAGGGACGGGAGCATCCTGAGAGCCTGGAAACCACTGAGCCGAGTATTCCCAACCCGAAAGAAAAACAGCACTGCTTAAGACATAATCGACAAAGGAGCCAGCGCGGTGGCTGAGGCACTGGGCTCCCACGTGGCCGGCTGTGGCTCAAATCCCAGACCTTGCAGTTTGCTTTCCCTTCCTCTCTGGTCAGATTAGAAACTTCCAAGAAATGGATTAAATAAAAAAAGAAGAGATTGGGACCAGCAGTTAGCGTAATGGCTGGCGCTGGACCCCCGCGACGGCGGTTCAAGTCCCGGACCCGGCAGCTTAAACCCACATTGGGCACATATGCATGCGTGGCCATCCTCCCGGGGGGTGATTTCTGTCTCTGTCTCTCTCTCTCTAGAGAAAGACTTCTGGCGAGCGCACGCGCCCTATAGCATTAAGAGAAAAAAAATAAAAAGATTAAAAATAGGCCAGAAAGACTTCTCTGAAATCACAAGACCCCTGTTTAGAGGCCACCGGAGGGAGTGGGGATCCGAGGGGGACACGGGGCCAGTGCCCGTGGAGGCCCGAGCCCCAGCACACAGTCGACGGCATGACTCCCTGGGGCGGGCGGCGACAGAAAAGGACCACCGGCCCTCACGCCATGGAGGCCAGCGCCCAAAGTGGCCGCGCAGGCAGCAGAGGGTGGAGGGCCCTCGTGCATGCGGCTGGGTGGGCACAGGTGGCCAACGAGGGCCAGCACAGCAGCTTCCATAGCTGAACAGCGGCCACGGGGACCTGCGGGCGGCGTGACCGTTATATCCCTGGACTCCCACGTAGCTGACCGTGGTTCCAGTCCCGGATCCAGCAGCTGAAAGCTCACGCCAGGTTGCACATGCGTGCCCAAGATTCAGAGAGGAGAACGGGAAGGGACTGTGGCAAGGCCATCCCCCGGGGAGTGATTTCTCGCTTTCCGCCTCTCTCTGGCGAGCACACTGCCCTGTAGCAGAAATCCGCACCGAGGTTAGAGCACGTAACTGCCACGTGAGCCAGCGAACTCGAGGTGAGGTGGGGCGTGTTTTCCGGTCAGGGCCGGCACTGTCCCCACATGGTCCAGACACGCACTGGGACGGGGACGGACGCAGAGCGGCCTGCCTGTACCCTGGGCGGAACCCCGACGGTGTCTGCCCCATGGAGGGAACTCGAGGACAGGTGGCCAGTGAGACATCCCAGCACATGGGACAGCTCGCTGGCTCCGGAGGACACAGGTGCACCTGAGCCCCGTGGGCAGGCCGCAGCCTCAGGGCAGGCTCTCTCCAGGTCAGCTCCCAGGGCTCCGGGAGGCGGCATTTCCCAGGGCCCAGGTGCCGGAGGAGCCGCCCGGAGCCACCCAGAGCTGCCTGGAGCCCCGAACCCCACGCCCCTACTTGCCGGGCACTGCTGGGCTCGTCCTCGGAGCCCGGCTCCTCGTCGGAGGTCAGCGGGGAGTAGTGCGCCCCGTTGGCCTGGCTCAGGGGCCGCTCCTTCTTGAGCACAGGCGGCTGGTCGTGGTCCTGGCAGGGCACAGGGGAGCTCTTCCGTGAGTCCTCGGGGGAGGAGATCGCCGTGATCTCCAGGGGCTGGTTGATGGTGCTGACCTGCGTGCCGGGGGCGACCATGTGACTGCCGCAGACCCGGCCGCAAGCCCGCCTCCAAAAGATTCCACGGCACAGACGCCGTCCCTCGGCTCTTGGCAGGGCACTGCACACCCTGCTTCCGCACCAGCCCTCAGCCCGCTCCGGGCCCCGGGCTCACCATGGAGGAGAGGTTGAGGGGCGACCCCGAGGACTGCGTGAAGAGCCCGGCGACAGCTGGCAGGGCACGGCGCTTGGGAGACACGCCTGTGCTCAGGCTCGGTGTCCCGGCCGACGCCCTCTTCCTGCGGCCCCGCTTGCGGCTGTCCTGCCCGTAGCCCTGACCACAGTCCCCTCGGGCTCCCGAGGGCAGAGGGCTGTGCTTGCTGGAGGGTGACTGCCTGGCGCTGGCAGCCGCGGCTGGGATGGGGGAGAACGTCCTCCCCCT